CCAAGCTGCTCGAATCCCGGGAGTGGGAAGCTAAGCTCAAGTCCCTGCGGCTCGAGATCAAGGATTTGCAGCGGGAGTTTGACAGAACCGAAGACAACATTAAGGCGTTGCAGAGTGTCGGTCAGATTATCGGCGAGGTCCTTAAGCAGCTCGATGACGAAAGATGTAAGTGAAGGCATCCCCATCCCGCTTTCCGCCTCCGATGGACACCGTCCCCGCCCCACCACCACTACCTACCACGATTGCCGCCAAGAAAGAGACGCGAATGATTAGGACTCAACTTTTGCTAATCAACGTTCCCATTCACGAATAGTCATCGTCAAGGCTTCCTCCGGTCCCAGATATGTCGTCGGATGCAGATCAAAGGTTGACAAGGTTAAGCTCAAGCAAGGCACGCGCGTGGCACTCGATATGACGACACTCACGATCATGCGTATGCTTCCCCGAGAAGTCGACCCCCTCGTCTACAACATGTCACTGGAAGACCCCGGTCAAGTCAGCTTCGCTGGTATCGGTGGACTGAACGACCAGATTCGCGAGCTCCGCGAGGTCATTGAGCTGCCGCTCAAGAACCCCGAGCTCTTCCTGCGTGTGGGCATCAAGCCGCCCAAGGGTGTTTTGCTTTACGGACCTCCTGGTACGGGAAAGACGTTGCTTGCACGTGCCGTGGCAAGCAGTCTCGAGACCAACTTTCTCAAGGGTAGGTCTACTCCGTGGGGAGTGGTGGAAGACGGTAGAAGGAAGTGTGCTAATGAGGTCAAACAGTTGTTTCCTCAGCAATTGTCGACAAGTACATCGGAGAGTCTGCCCGCCTGATTCGCGAGATGTTCGGCTACGCCAAGGAGCACGAGCCCTGCATTATCTTCATGGACGAGATCGACGCCATTGGTGGACGCAGATTCTCTGAGGGAACCAGTGCGGATCGTGAGATCCAGAGAACGTTGATGGAGTTGCTCAACCAGCTGGACGGTTTCGACTACCTCGGAAAGACCAAAATCATCATGGCCACGAACAGACCTGATACCCTCGATCCCGCGCTGCTTCGTGCTGGACGTCTCGACCGCAAGATTGAGATTGCCCTGCCGAACGAGGTCGGCCGTTTGGAGATTCTCAAGATCCATGCCCAGGGCGTGGTGACGGAGGGTGAGATTGACTTCGAGAGCGTGGTGAAGATGAGCGATGGTCTTAATGGTGCGGATTTGAGAAACGTCGTGACAGAAGCGTAAGTGACTGCACATTTTGACAGCACCCGTAATACCCGAAGCTAACTAGTAATGCCTAGTGGTCTGTTTGCCATCAAGGATTACCGCGACGCAATCAACCAGGACGACTTCAACAAGGCAGTACGTAAGGTCGCCGAGTCGAAGAAGCTGGAGGGCAAGCTCGAGTACCAGAAGTTGTAAGGTCAGAGAGGAGGCGACATGATGATTCACGGGATGAGGCGCGGAAGAGCAAAGGAAAGACATCGAAAGGGGCGGCTGGATCGAGCATCGTCGGTTCTCAGCCGTTTAGAGGGTCTTTTAATGTGTTAAACAGTGTACAATACCCGAGTCCAGGTTTGGGGTTGTTTGCCATGGGATCATAGAGACGTACGGTGTGGAATAGAAGCAGCTACGGGATCCCAAAGATGAAACAAGCGCATGCACAAGCAGTAATGTCCATCGTTGACGGCGACGTTGTACGGAGGTATATTAGCCCGTATGATCAGCTTGCATTCCATGACCGCGCAACAGGACCTATACGAAGCGCTTTGGCGTTTGTATCAAGAAATATCATGAAGAATGCATGGCCATGGTGAGTTTTCTTATCTCTGCGCCCTTCGAATGTTCCCTGGTAGGTAGGTAGGTAGGTATTTTTTGGGGGGCCCGAGTCTAGGGTAGCCCGTAGCTGTGAGGCTCCATTTTTGAAGCTATTGATAATTGCACAGCCTCGACTGAGCTGGGGGGCTGGGTACGGGGTGTGGTCCGGCGCGGCGGCGCCACGTGCCAGAGTGCCATCTTATTGAACTGCTCAACAAACAATAGTGTGTCTGTACTCGAGAGCGCTACTCGCTGGCAGAAGGCCTCCGTTTACTCATCCACCTCGGCGCACGGCGAGGATGCCGTGTTAGGCCAGTCACCAATGTCGAGTTCGACACGGGCCTTCATATCTACAGCAGGCCCCCGAGTAAGCGTAGGGCTGGGGAGAAAGGAACGAGGGGTGTACCCTTTGTGGTCCAAGCCACAGATAGCTCAGGGGGTGTATTTAGGTACTGCTCATCGACATGGCTTGGTGTAAGCGAAGCTACAGCGGGTTGTGCTTCTTAGTCGAGTCTTACATGATCTTTCTGTTCCTTCGCTAACAGCTTACACTGCAGGCAGACGACGGAAGCACATGCTTACAATCCTGTCTGACGAGAAGAAAACGGGTGGGGAATGAGGTCGCACATTGTAAGCCCGGGAGGATCGAAGGTCTGGTCCTGAATTTGTGATTCGACGAATCCGCCATGCCGTGCAAAGGAGGCTGTTGAAGCTGCTGCAAGCGGATGGCGGGGCTCTAGCTGAGACCACCTCTATGTGCTGGGTGATCTCGCACGGCAACGAATAGAGACAAAGGTTAGCCACATGTTTTCGATGGGAAGATTGCCGTAAGACTGGAGATGAGCGACTGCAACCGTGGCATGCTCTGCAGGCGGCGTCTCGAGTACCCCGGCGGCCGTCTGATATGAACGCATCCACGCATGAGGTGTTGGACTTTGTTTGAATCTGGCTTGGTGGGTACGGCGTTCGCTTTTCTTCGGATTGAGCAACACTGAAGCCATGGCGAGGTACCTCATACAGTTGTGCGATGCATGGTTTCTGTGTGGGCCGTACCGGTCTTCCATTCGGCCTATTTGCTGATTCCAGGGACCGTGGAACGTGGATTATGCGTAGCACGAAATCGATATCAGAAAGATCTGGATAGCGCGCAACGAGCGGCTGTATGATACTAAACAGGCGCGCTCGACGTGTCCGGGCTTGGCTCAAAACTTCAGGGTTTGCCTCGGCTGGGTGGACTCGCGACCGATTCGAGAAGATCTGGGTCAAGCTGGGGCGGCGAGATGGGCGGTGGCATGGAAAAGTTGCCAGATGGTGATTTGCAGGAGAGGCCGGTCTAGCAGGGTTCTCTCCTCGGTGCGAGATGTTATTTTTGGCGACTGGTATACGGAGTGGACGACAAGCCGCCCCTTTTGTGGCCCGTTCTCACGATGGCAATTGAGGCTGTACCTCTTCTTAGTGCGTTGTCTTCTCTTCTGTTTTTTTCCCCTTCTCGTCCGCTTCTTTTCGTACCTGGAGGCCCCACTCCCTCCCTCCCCTGTGCAGCCCCTCCATGCTTCATGGGTGCAACCAGCAACGGAGCCAAGCAGCAAGAGTTGGACACCAGGGGACCCGAGCTTGGGAATTCTTGTCGCTTGGTGTCACATTGGCGACGATCCCCGCTGGATTCTTTCTAGCGCTTGACAACCAAGGGGTGTCCGCACCCAGATGATTGGGGACTGGGGCACGTCGGAGCCAGGTAATACGAAAAGAAGGGGTAAAAAAAGCGATGATGTCGGTGATGGAATCCTCAAAAAAACGTTGGAGGGTGGGACAGGGCATGACGAACGTAAGTAGCCGTCGCACCGATGCCCGATAATAGGGGACGTCTTTGACGCAACACCAAGAAATAATCAAACCGACAGATCGGATGGACGGAGCGTATCGCAGACGTTAGACAACTAAGGTAGCAAGTTGTCATGTTTGATCTCTTGTGTACCTGACCATTAGTACACACTACGTGCAGTTGTTGATTTGCTTGGTAGAATTGTGATTCCCAATTAATGACGAGATGTTGTTGGGATAAGGCGGTTACTGAATCAGATCTTGGTGTTGGCGGGTTCGGGGGCACATGGGATGAGCACTTCAGGAGGCGCGTGCTCGGATAGGTACGAAGTACTCCGTACACCGTACCTGCCATGCCATGCGTGTGCATGTATTGTGGGAGAGTGGGGGAGCTCGGGTCAAGTTAAGTTCCCGTAGCTACTTCGTACATAGTAGTCCATAGGAAAGACGCGCTGGTAAAGGTACGGGCTGTGGCAGAGAAAGAGGTGTGTTGAAATTCGATGGATGGCAAGGCGGGTGAGGCGTTACAACAGAAGTTGATGGCAGCAGCTTTCCTAACTCGGTGCCTGCTTGGTGCCTGCTTGGTGCGGGCTTCATCACAAGCTGACCATTTCGGAAGGCTTTAGCGTTACAAATGCAGCTTGCGGAAATCGTGCCTTTCTAGCGGCTGGATTGGAATGGAAGCGGCGAGAGCAGCATCGGAGTCAGATGGATGCCAAATCGTGCTCAATCAAGTGTTGGTTGGCTGATTATCTGCAGAATTCCTCAAGCGAGAAAGGTGAATGCGCATAGCACATATGGTATTATCCAGGACTCCGTACTTGCAAGTAAGTGCTATGGAGATATTACTGTGAACCATTTGGCCAACAGCATTGGTCGTACTGTATCCGTAACAGCAGTTGAAATGAAGAAGCAAGTCTTTTCTAAAGCCCACGATGTTATCGCGGTACGTACCGAGGGCGATCTTTGGAGCTAGTGTAGCAGCCGAATGGCTCAGCCAGGGAATGGCGCCACAGTCCACGAAAGGAGGGGGGGGGGGGGCTTGAGGAGGACGGGAGGAGGAGGAACCCAAGAGGAACCCACTGGGAGAGCCTGGAGGAGGTGAGGGATGGGAGCGGTGGGTGGCATTCCTGCACTGCGCCTGCGGCCGCGTCCAGGTACCGTACGGATAGTCTGAAATAGTGTCTCTCTCTGGATGAAATGAAAGCAAGAGGTGGGATGGCACAGAAAACGACGGACCAGTCAATGATGCAGCACAGACAACATGTCAGACATTGGGCTGTAGGTATTCTTCCTTGTCTGCAGTCTGCTCAGGCACACAAGAAACAACGGATTTCGCCGGGATGGGGCTAGAAATGTTCTTCAAGATGTGTGGTTAAGTCAAGGTTCCAAGGAATATCGCGATGTGTGTTGCTGCAGGCAAGTGGTGCCAGAAGCTGCAGCTCCTTTGCTGTTGCCGGTGAGGTGGGGGCCCTTCCAGTCTCCAGAAACCTGCTGCCCCTCACTCGCTGCATTCGCGGCTCTTCCACTGGCTGAGCACGTCTGTCTTTCCCAACTCTGACCGGGTCGCCCCAGACATCGAACTGCAAAGAAGTGCGGGTTACGGATACCGGTACGGATAGGTCTATGTCTGTCTCTCTGCAGTCTACGGAGTACACAGAGTAGGTAGGTATTTTTGCTCCGTCGAAATCTAGATCCATTCTCCATTCCGTTGCCCTAGCGCCTGTCTGCTCCGAGTCCTGACATATGCCATCCCAGCTGCAAAAGTGTCAGACACCTCCGACTCGGTGACTCGAGAACTGCCTTACCCATCATCATTTGTAAACCGACCCAGCAAAGAGTCTACTGGACTTTCCTGGAGGCACTCGAATCAATGACTTAGACATGATATCCAGCAAGCGAAAATGACAACGAGACGCTGCTTCCTGCCAACTTCTACAGCTAAAAAAGAAAACGGGCAAGACAACTAGCTCAATAAACAAACATGACCGTCTCTCAAAGCATCTGGCCTCATTCACTGCTCTCAGAGACTGAAGTCTTCTGCTGATGTATCAGGTGAATTGTAGGTATCCGTACACACTATCCGAACTTGCCTGCTTGCTATCCTCTGATGAAGGCATTGCCTACCAAACAGCAAGTAAACAGTCAGTACACTCAAAACAACACTTCAGCAAATCATTGCGCGCTTGTTTCTTACAGCCTTGTTTCCTTCCCTGGCTTTCTCTGGGCAATAGCAAGACATCATCGTCCATAACAAGAACGAATACCACCACATAGTGTACCTGGCCCTGCCCACTCACCCCCATCCTTCCGTCATCTTTGGTCCTCACCCTCACCCTCAACCCGTGCCGCGCCGCGCCCTCTCGGTCATCCTCAATACGAGCACGCCCCTGCCACACCCCGCCCACCGCCCCCCTCCACGCCTCTAGGCGCTACTGCGTATTCTCTCCACGTACACAATACACTCTCCCCTCCCATTGCTCTCCAGCCAGTTGAACCAGCTGCACATAAAGCTGCTCAGCTCCCGCCTCCTGCATCTTGCTCTACCCTACTCATTCTCTCTTGATCCAACTATTCATCTCTCTCGCTCTTCTTGATACCCTTCGCTGCCGCCTCTACCACCCGAGTCTCCGCCTCTTTTTGTTAATTGGTCTTTTACGTTTCTTGTCAGGGTCTTCGATTGCGTTGAATCAACATGTGGTATGTCCCCCCAATTCCGCTCCCCGCTCTCCTGAAAGCTTGCCGGCATCCTCCCCTTCCCCTCCATCCAGCTTCTGCCAGCTGAAAAAAGGGGTCGGAGCGCCGACAGCCACAAAGGCAATTGGCAGCACAGTAAGCAGGCAGTAAGCTGACGTGCACCCCTCTCCCAATAGTGGCATTTTCGGCTACGTCAACTACCTGGTGGAGAAGGACCGCAAGTTCATCCTCGACACTTTGGTGAACGGTGAGTACACCGCCTCCTCCTGAATACTTCCAATTGGAGCCACATAGCTCCACCTTATCTCGAGAGCTGTTTTGCTAACGGGCCTCTGCTTCCAACAGGTCTCTCCCGTCTCGAGTACCGTGGATACGACTCGGCCGGTCTTGCTGTCGACGGTGACAAGAAGAATGAGGTCTTCGCCTTCAAGGAGGTTGGCAAGGTCGCCAAGCTCAAGGAGCTCATCGCCGAGTCCAAGGTCGACGAGACCAAGTACTTCGACTCACATGCCGGTATCGCCCACACTCGCTGGGCTACCCACGGCCCCCCGTCTCGTCTGAACTGCCACCCCCACAGGTACGTTTGCACACCCGCAAAAACAACAGCAAACTTTCCCCTTTGAATGCTTCCCTGTCATCAAAATCTCAAGTAGCTGACATGACTTCCCATCTCCTAGATCTGACCCTACCTGGGAGTTCACCGTCGTCCATAATGGTATCATCACCAACTACAAGGAGCTTAAGACCCTCTTGAGCGCCAAGGGCTTCAAGTTCGAGACCGAAACCGACACCGAATGCATTGCTAAGCTCGCCAAGTACCTGTACGACCAGCACCCCGATATTGGCTTCACCGATCTCGCCAAGGCTGTCATCAACGAGCTCGAGGGCGCCTACGGACTTTTGATCAAGTCCGTTCACTACCCCCATGAGGTCATCGCTGCCCGCAAGGGTTCTCCTCTTGTCATTGGTGTCAAGACACAGAAGCGCATGAAGGTCGACTTCGTCGATGTCGAGTACTCCGAGGAGGGTGCCCTCTCTGCCGAGGCTGCCTCTCAGAACGTTGCCCTCAAGAAGCAGCAGGACAACTTCTTGAACCCCAACACTCTGCTGGGTGCCCCCGACAAGTCGCTTCTGCACCGCTCGCAGTCGCGCGCTTTCATGACCGACGACGGCATGCCCATGCCCACCGAGTTCTTCCTCTCGTCTGACCCGTCTGCCATTGTCGAGCACACCAAGAAGGTCATGTACCTTGAGGACGATGACATCGCTCACATTCACGAGGGCTCGCTGAACATTCACCGTCTTAAGAAGGCGGACGGCAGCTCCAATGTGCGCACCATCCAGACCCTGGAGCTTGAGCTTCAGGAGATTATGAAGGGCAAGTTCGATCACTTCATGCAAAAGGAAATTTTCGAGCAGCCCGAGTCCGTCGTCAACACCATGAGAGGTCGTCTCGATGCCGCCAACAAGACTGTCACCCTTGGTGGTCTCCGCTCCTACATTTCTACCATCCGCCGCTGCCGCAGAATTATCTTCATTGCATGCGGTACCAGTTATCACTCATGCATGGCTGTTCGCGGCGTGTTCGAAGAGCTGGCCGAGATCCCCATCGCCGTTGAGCTGGCTTCCGATTTCCTCGACAGACAGGCGCCCGTCTTCCGTGACGACACCTGCGTCTTCGTCTCCCAGTCTGGTGAGACTGCCGACTCTCTCATGGCTCTCCGCTACTGCTTGGAGCGCGGTGCCCTGACCGTCGGTATCGTCAACGTCGTTGGTTCCTCCATCTCCCTGCTCACCCACTGCGGTGTCCACGTCAACGCCGGTCCCGAAATCGGTGTTGCCTCCACCAAGGCCTACACCTCCCAGTTCATTGCCATGATCATGTTCGCCCTCTCCCTTAGTGAGGACCGCGCATCCAAGCAGAAGCGTCGCGAGGAGATCATGGAGGGTCTCGCCAAGATCCCTGAGCAGATCAAGGATATCCTTACCCAGGACCAGTCCATTAAGGAGCTCTGCTCCAAGACTTTCCAGAACCAGAAGTCCCTTCTGCTCCTCGGTCGTGGTGCCCAGTTCTCTACCGCCCTTGAGGGTGCCCTGAAGATCAAGGAAATTTCCTACCTTCACTGCGAGGCTGTCATGTCCGGTGAGCTGAAGCACGGTGTTCTTGCTCTCGTTGACGAGAACTTGCCAATCATCATGATCCTCACCCGTGATGATCTCTTCAAGAAGTCGCTCAACGCCTACCAGCAAGGTAAGTCTAGAATATCAGCCAACGTTAAGCTTGGTAATTTGCTAACAAATTGGATAGTCATTGCTCGCAGCGGAAAGCCCATTGTCATCTGCAACCCTGGTGACGAGGAGTTTAAGACCAGCGAGGCTGAGAAGATTGAGATCCCCAAGACGGTCGATGCCCTCCAGGGTATCCTCAACGTCGTTCCTCTGCAGCTGATTGCTTACTGGCTGGCTGTCATGGAGGGACTCAACGTCGATTTCCCTCGTAACCTGGCCAAGTCTGTCACTGTCGAGTAAACTGCTCACATAGCCTGAGTGAAGTTTGGTTTATTGTCGGGTGATTCGCCCCCTTGGAGTTGGGTTGCCAAAAGGGAGGATAAGCCCTTGATGCTTTTGATGTCACAGCGGGCCACAAAAAGGCGATGGCAACTTCGGAGCCCTCTGATGTATTACTGGGTATTGTGAAAATGAGGGAATGGTCCAGCATGGTAGATTTGGGCCGGTCAAGATAAAGGAGCGTATCTTTTTGAGGTTAAATGCCGTAGTCAGGCAACCTGAAGCAATGAAGAACATTATTGTCTATTTCATTTGGTGTTACACATGCTTGCTCGCACACGCCTGATTTCATCGTGATGTCGATAGGCCCTGGGTTGCAGGGCTCGTGCTTCTCTTCTACTACTTGCGTCTCATGAGTATTCCCACCCACGGAACTGCCAGAGCTTATGCCGAATACCCAGTCATTGTCATGTCATTTCCACCCATTCTCTCACTGCCTGTCTCTCTATGTCCCAAAGATCCTTGTGTCCGTGCCTTCCCCTTAGTTCACCTGCGTACCGTAGCCGCGGATCCGTTCCGCAAACTTCCAGCTCTGCTTCTCAAGCTTCTCACTCTCCTTCAAGTCGACTCCATCCTTGGTTACTACAGCAATCGAGTAGGAATCCGAGCTGCGAGCGTCACGGTAGAAGAGAACCTTCATACACTCCTTAATCACGTCGACGGCCTGCTCCTTGGAGAGCTTAGCGGCGGTCTCCTCATCGGGGGCGTAGCGACGCATGATGGGTTGGGCGAGGGCTGAGCCGAAACCCGTCGCCAAGGAGGGAGAGGTGAAGGTGGTGCCGAGCAGGTCGGCGGCGGCGAGGAAGGGCTTGTTGTTGTCGTCGAGGCCGGCGACGAGGAGGTGGTTCCAGAGGGGGTCGAAGTCGGAGCGGCGCTTGTAGAGGAGCTTGGAGAGGTACTTGTGAAGGTTCGCGGCATTGAGCCGGGCGGGGGCGTCGTTGGCCAGGTCGTAGGACTCCTCAATGTCGAGGCTTGAGAGATGGCGGTCGAGGTATTGCATGTCGGAGACGTCGCCGCCGAAGCCCACGACTGTGGAGTTGGCGAAGGTGCGGAGACGCTTGACATCGGTGAAACGGGCGAGGGAGCCGTAGGATGCTACATGATAGAAGAATTGTCAGCTTTCATTATTGGGACAGTATGATGACAGCACAAGACGGCATTGAAGGGCGAGCAAAGACAAAGACGTACCCAGGTTGTCGGCGGCGATGACGACACCTTCGCTGAACTTGATGGCAATGACTGATGTACCCGTGACGATGGGGGCCTGTGTCGCTTGGTTGGGACCATTGGTGTTCATGTACGAGCCATCGTAGGCTCCGTAGACGTCGTCTCTAGGCTATGATGAGGGGTTCCGGCTTGTTAGTCTACAATGCGAGGCTGAGATTCCCGGGAAGGAGGGGAGGGGGGAGACTGGGGATTGCGTACACGGCCCCAAGCTTGCGGTCTGTGATCCATGGTGGCTGGATTTTGTGTAGTTTGGAGATCAAGATGATGAAAAGGTGGTTGGAAAGGAGGATAGGCTTCGTCGTTGTTGCAAGTTCGTGGGTAGGTTTGGTGATGGTTCGGTATGTGAAGTTGATTGAAGCTTGTCCGGGGTGAGCTTCGCGTCCCGTGGGTGCCTCTGCAGGCCGCCTGGCTGGCTGGCTGGCTGACTGGCTGACAGGCCAGTTGCTCCTGCTGCTGCTCCCGCCGCCGCTAGAGCTACTGCGTCAAGGCTCTGGTGCCTGACAAACGGGGCTGCAAGTTTGGGGGTGGGCTTACCAGAAATGGTCAGCTTGGAGCTGTTGTGGTGGGTGATTGGAGGTGGCGTACTCGGTACTCTGTTTTGCATCCTTTTATGAGAATATTTTGGTACTCGGTACATCAGAGCTCCAGGGGTGGATGGTCAGACAAACAAGGAGGTCGACCAAGTTCAGTCGCATTGCTCACAGTCCCTCGTCATTCCGTCAATACCACGGACGGCAATTGTGGTGTCGAAAACACACCCCCGACTCCCCCGACTCCCACGATTGGCCTGATCCTAGCCTCAATACCGCTCGCATTCGACTCGCCCTATCCAGCCCCTTCCGGATTGCCCTATCGCAATCGACCACCACTACTAAACATCTCCCGGCTCGCTCCAAAACACCAAACACCAGCCCACCCACAAGATCGCAACAATGTTGACAGCAATCGGCCGCGCCGCCGCTCAGCGCGTGCTCCTCCGCACCGCCCCGCTGGCAGTACCGCGAACTCAGCTTGTCGTCGTGCGCGCAGCGTCTTGCCGCGGCTTCTCAACCTCGCAATGGGCGCGCATGCCTGCCACCAAGGCGGCGACAACCACTAAGACCAAGACGAAGACCACGGCCGCCAAGAAGAAGCCTGCCACCAAGGCCAAGAAGCCCGCTGCTAAGAAGCCCAAGGCGAAGAAGAAGGTCGCCGTTAAGAAGGCTGTGCCCAAGAAGAAGGTCAAGAAGGTGGTGCTCACGCCCGAGCAACAGAAGAGGCTCAGGGTGCGGGAGTTGAAGACGGCAGCGCTGCTGGAGGAGCCCAAGAAGCTCCCAACGAACACATTCCGGGTGTACGCTGAGCAACAATTTGCTACGGAGCCCACCTCGGACTTGAAGTTGACCGACCGGGTCAAGAGCATTGCCGAGTCTTACAAGAACCTGTCCTCATACGAAGTCCAGGTAAGGCCTGACCCTCTGTCTTGTTCCTTCTGCTGTGAATCTCCAACAGAAGCCCCTCGATCCATATCAAACAAGAGACTGACAAACCTGGAATACATAGCGTCTCGAAGAGACTGCCGAAGCCAACAAGCTGACCAACAACGCGGCCTACAAGTCGTGGGTTGAGTCGCTCCAGCCCACGGTTGTGGCCGAGGCCAACCGCGCCCGCGCGAGGCTCCGCAACCTTACCGGCAAGCAGGTCCCGCGGGCCATCCGCGACGACCGCCTCCCCAAGAGGCCGCACAACGCCTACGCGCTCTTCGTCAAGGCGCGGTTTGGCAGCGGCGACTACTCCAACCACACCGGCAAGGCGAGTGAGAACATGCAAGCCATTGGCAACGAGTGGAAGCAGATGTCACCGCCCGAGAAGCTCGCATATGAGGAGCTCGCCAAGGCTGACTTTGACCGTTGGGAGCGCGAGTCGCTGGAAGTCTTGGGCCATGTCGTCAAGCGTAGCCCTTCTCCCGAGTAAGAAAAATTTTACCCAGTTCAGGTCACGAATCTGAGCGGTAGCCCCTTTCTTTCTCTCCTCGAGGATTCCCCTTGAGGAATAAATTCCACCCCGCGGCGTCAAGTGTCAAAAAAGTAGGATATGCCTGAGCGAGTTCAGCAGTGCGATGAATCGTGTACGAGGAGGAGCAAGCCGGGAAGAGGAGGGTATGCTTATTGGTTTTCCTTGTTCTGTACAGAGTAGGAATTGCAAGAAGGATCGGTTGATGTTTCTTAGCTGTATTTCAGATACCAAATGCCAAAGAGAGGTTTCGCGACTAGAACGAAATGTTCAATTTGCTCCCTATATACCATTTTGAAGGTGCGCCCATTGTTTATTTCTATGCTAATCAGGTTGTTTGCCCCGTATCCAAACTTGTCAAGCAGTAGCGCCCTGTCGAACCCCTTACCTTATGCAAACGCCTCGCTTAGCCAAGGAAAACAAGAAGGAAGGAAAACGAAATGAGAACAGCCCGGCGCGTCGTCTCCCATCCTACTACATTCCGTCGTCGGGATCGTCCTCCACGCTCTCCCCAGAGTCGGAGTTTTCGTGGCCATTGGTGATGACAATAACCTCACCCGCACCGTCCAGCCACCTCGCCGCATCCTTCTTCAGCGCCCTCTCGCTCGCCAGGTATAAGGCCAGATAGATGTGACCGACGATGTGGCCCCAGCAGTACACGCGTATACAGGACCAGTCCTCTGCGCGTTTACACCAGACGCCCCATCCCGCGAACCCTTCGAGGATCTAATCCGTCAAAAAGTGCCAGGCTCGCTCGCGGAGACTCGGTCGCCAGCCGGTCCAGTCCAAGTGCCAGTGGCCTCGCTCAAATGGACGCAGTTCCCTCGTCTGTTCAATCGGGGCAAAGCGCTTCGATATCTTGAGTTGGCGGGCCAGCTCCTTCAGCTTGGGCGTCAGGAGATCATCTGGCGTCAGCTCGCTGGTGCCGACGGGGGGGCCAACGGGGTGGATCTCAAGACGTGCGAGGTAGCTCAAGTGCCTCTCATTAGGAGGCCGTTGAGGTCTGAAAAGATCGCTGGGCCCAGGGCCTACATCTGAGGAGCTTCTCGTGATGACAGACCTCGATTCCGAAATGGGCGCTGACCGTTTGTGCCGTTTCGATGGAAGTAGGGGCTCGGAGCCGGCTCGGTTTGGCGATGACGGTATTGTTCTCTTCCGAGACGGTTGGCAAGGCGTGTCCTGTATTATCTGCTCAATAGGGGAGCTGACTAAAGGCGGCCGCTTCAGAGCAGGGAACGGCGTATTGAGGATTATAGCATCTGCGGGAATAGTAGAGGCCGCTGGAACTGGGGTGGCATTGCTCTCAATTGCCAGGGAGTTGCTCGACGTTACGAGAATAACCTGACCATCGTCCTCATCTTCATTACAGTCTTCCTCTATGACTGGCGTAGCCGTTGCGACTGCTTCTGGAACTTGTTGCTGGCTTGCCTCTGAGGACAATTGCTGAGATTCCCCATCGAGTTGGCTATCGAACTGCCCTGCCAGATGTTCAAAGAGCCGGCTCGGGGATGAGAACTCAGCGAGTGTGATGTCATATGACGGCTGAGAATCACCGACGACACTGGGAGGAGCTACCCAGCTAGCCTGCGTTGGCTGTGAATCAGCCACAGGTTGAGACGAAGGTGGTAAGTCTCTAGATGCAAGTGGCTGACCGAGACCCGGTGAATTTCTGTTATCCAAGACACTCCTAAAGGACAGTTGCTGTGATTCGAAAGATCCAAAAGTTGTGGGGTATTGAGGTGGCGGTGGTGGTATATGTGGTGGTGATGAGGTTGCCGGTTGCGTTGTTTCGCTATCGAGGTTCGGCACATCTGACCAAGCAGGCAACGCTGGTGGCTCGGCCTCTGAGCTGGGGATAGCTTCGACATCTTCCTCTTCTGAAGGTTTGCTGAAAATATTGGTCTGTCTCGTTGGTGCAAAATCGAGATATGCCTGTGCCAGGGCTCGGTAGCGCACATCATCGATGTTTCTGCACGGCGCTGTGACGTGCACTAGGATCTCAACGTTGTCATGTGCCTCCATGACAACCTCACTGGGAAACTGGAGAGTACATTCATCTCCAAGAGCAAGCGCCAAGATGCATAATAATGGAAGGTGCTCTCGTAAGGTCCAAAAAAGATGAAGCAGGTTACGAAGATGATAGGTGACGGTAGCTTTGACCCAAAGAGGTGAGAATGAGAATAAAGCAATTCCGTCTGTCACTCTTCGCCTAAGAATATGTCAGACTCAAAGTGAAAGTGAAGTCTTAAGAGACGCGCCTGCATAGCAGTCTCGAAAGTCAGTGCTCTTCGAGGTGGGGCACCTTGCTGTATTCCCCCTGCACCTCATGTCATGTTGAATGCGGAAGAGACACGCATCTCACTGGCCCCACCACAACAGCGTCGTAGAGGTTGGATGTTCTGCGAGGTATTCTCTGGCATGTTCTCCATACGGGTAGCCTAAATGCAATTAGCGCCACTCAGAAAGTTCAAAAGTAGTTATACTAACCCTGGGGGAGTAGTGTTGCCTAGCTATTGTGTACTAGGTACTCAAGCTGTACTTCGAAATTGGATCAAATAAATTGAAGCTTGGCCTCTCTGGTGCTGTGCCATTACCCCAGAAATCCTCAGTTCAGGGGACCAGAGACAACAGACCACGCCAATTAATTCTCCTTTCCCAGAGCCTCCTCCAACTCCTCCACCTCAGCCCGTGATAACACCCTAACGACCACCCTCTCTCCCATCCAAAAACCAGCAGCGCCGCGAACATGTCTGCAAAGCCCACCACGCCCCCCAACCTGGGCAAGGTCCTCGTCGTCGGCGGCAACGGCTTCCTCGGCCACCACGTGGTCAACCAACTCCTGGCCGGTGACCGCTGGGCCGTCGCATCCGTCGACGTTGTAGATCTTCGCTGCGCCAACAACCGCAACCCCAAAGCCAACTACCACGAGGCGGACATCACCGACGTAGACAAGATCAAGTCCCTCTTCGAGAACGTTAAACCCGACGTCGTCGTCCACACCGCCTCCCCCGCGCCCCAGGGCGATAGCGCCATCGCAAAGGATCTCTTCCGCAAGGTCAACGTCGACGGCACCGCTTCCATCATCGCCGCCTGCCAGGCCGCCTCCGTAAAGGCTCTCGTCTACACGTCCTCCGCGAGTATCATTAGCGACAATGCCACCGACCTTATCAATGCCGACGAGCGTTGGCCCGTCATCCGCGGCGAACTGCAGACGGAGTATTACTCCGAGACCAAGGTGCGCACGCCAGCCTACGAATTCCCACGCTCCATTGCTCTTATAATGCGATGGCCAATCTCCTGCTCTTCTCCTTCAAGTGTTGTTGCGTTACCAATGACTGACATGTGACCATCCGTAGGCCGCCGCAGAAGAATTGGTCCTCGAGGCAAACCGCCAAGACCCCTACCCCCTCCTCACATCCGCCATCCGCCCCGCGGGCATCTTCGGCGAGGGCGACACCATGGTGACGCACCAAATGGTCAAGATCTACCGCGAGGGCAAGACGGGCGTGCAGCTCGGCGACAACGACAACCTCTTCGACTTCACCTACGTTGGCAACGTCGCCCACGCTCACCTCCTCGCCGCCCGCCTCCTCCTCGCGACCGCCGCCTCCTCCATCACGCCCCTCGACCACGAAAAGGTCGACGGCGAGGCCTTCCTCGTCACAAACGACAGCCCCATCTACTTTTGGGATTTCGCCCGCGCCATCTGGCGCGCCGCCGGCTCCGACAAGGGCACCGACCACGCCTGGAAGATCTCCCGCGAGTTCGGCATCGCGCTGGGCTTCTGCTCCGAAATCTTCTTCGCCATCATCGGCAAGCCGCCCATCTTCAACCGCCAGCGCTGCATCTACAGCTGCATGACGCGCTACTACAACATCAGCAAGGCCAAGCGCCTCCTCGGGTACCGACCCATTGTCGGCCTTGACGACGGCATCAAGAGGGGCGTGCAGTGGTTCCTCGACCAGGAGAAGGCTGGCAAGGTGAGCGTCAAGGCATGAAGGACGCTGTTACAAAGGCGATGATGGTTATGATGAAGGGCGGTGGTGTTTTAGGGATATGAGACCTTCATGTTCAAAAAAAAGTTTTCAGAGATTTTTCATCGTATATATACATAAACAACCCCTCAATGCCAGAGGGAACTAATAAACGGCCAATAAGCGGCCACATCATGAGCAAGAGCAACATATCTCAGGCCGTATTCTTTGCCTTTCTATGCGTGTAAGCAGGCGTTGCGAATAAGCTGTGAAACATGATTGTAGGACACGCGAGCAGCAACATGTTTGCACACATATTCCGAGGCAATAGTTGGAGAAAACCTGCAGGTAATGCTTGGCCTGTCCTATTCGCGTTGGCGGAACTACCTAGGTGGCCCTTTTACTCCATCCATAGCTACACGGAGGAGCGTCTTTCAAAGGCGAACAATGGACGAGGTTTCCCCATTCCTCCCGACCCCTTTCTCGAGATGCGCGCAAACGTGGCGCATTATTCGGCCTCCTCCCTTCCCCCTGGTTCCAGATCATCTCACAAATGTAATCCGATATCTCCCTCTTTCAACAAAAGAAGCGAAGCTATACTATGTCTCTCGCGCAAGCCAAGAAGAAACGAGGCCAGCTGTCCAGCTCGAGACATATCAATCAAACCAGACCGGTATCACCCATCGACAAGTCAATGGGCATAGGGCCTTTACTCCAAACAAGCCAGGGTCAAACCAAGACCACCAGTCCTCTTTCCCCCCCTTTCCAGTAGACGACGGGATCGTAATTTGTGCGAAGGAACACCAGCAGACCGTTAGGATGCCTCATTCCATATCGATCCGATGCTTCACTCTCGGAGAAGCCAAGAAGCAGAGGGTTTGACAAAGTGTTGGAAGAGAACTTTGAAAAGAAATAAAAAAATCATTCATGCCGCCTTGTCGTGAGTTGAGTAGCCGAAAAAAAGAAAAGTCTTTTGTTCTTTTGATGAAAAACGGTTGGGAACGCCGCCAACAATGCATGGATATGTGACTCTCCGAAACCCCAAATCGCAGTCCCAATAGAATGCGTAGCAAGTGATGTGAGCCTCGTAGGAAATCACTCTTCGATATGTGTGTAGTTTTGCTGTTGCGGTTTGGTTTGGTTGGATTATGTGTTTCCACCTACGCCAACACCGCTGTTCTGTCTTCCCCAAACCCCACCCGACTGGCGCCATTCTCTCTTTTGAGCTTCCGAAGGGCCTTCGGTGTCTGAATGCTCATACTGGCTTCCACCATAGGGTGAAGGGTGGCCATTTTCTTCATGTGGCCGCCATCTTTGGGGTGGTGTACCAGGATTGGGTTGGTTGAAAGGAGGAATGGGCATGGGCGGTTCCTGCACAGTGCGGACGCTACTCTCTTGTTGTTGCCACAGAGCGGGGTCAGTCTCAACCCTTCGGGGAGGGGGGCGGGATGAGTTATCTGGTCTGTTAAAGACCTCATTAACTTCGCCCAACCCTGGTCTTTGACCCATGCGGTCCTGGTAACGCTTAAGGATGTCCTTTGTAGTGAGATCGGCAGTGTTGCCAAACACGAATGGATCGTTGACCATTTCCATAAGCTCGTCGGGAACCTACAACTAATTAGTATTGCGAAATGTCTGATGACGGGACAGCAATCTTACCAGGCACATTTCTTCGATAGACGTGATCATATCGTTCACGGCGACAATGGCGAACATGGGGTCGCTGTCCAGTGCAGGCGCTTTGTTGCTGTTGTAAAGAATGTTCGGTGCAATAACGGTTGCCAGATTCTTGATGTCCATCCTAGATCCGGCTTCCTCATCCACTTGATGGAAGGATCCAGCCCACTTCAAAAAGCAGAACAGAATCTCCAAGCAGTCTCGGTGAGCCTTGGGCAAGAGACAGCAGATGAGGTGCAGATACGACTTGCGCTTTGCATCGTCCTGGATCTTGGCGACAGAAATCCAGAGCTTCTGGAGCTTGAAAGTCAAGAGTGGATCGGGCAGCTCACGCAAATAGCGCTTCAACAAAGCGGCAACCTGTACAACAGGCTGGTCCATGAAGCTAATGCTGTCGCAGCCTTCCCGGTCGATTCTTTCGCAGAGCTCAGACAGCTTCTTGATGTTGCCATTCTTTCGGAAAACACCCTCAACGGAAAGATCCATTTTTCTCATGGATGAGATGAGGTCGTCAATAATTGCAGGAATCTTGAGTGTTCCGGGGCCTACACCGTCTGTTGACTCAGCGCCATCCTTGTCAATGATGACGTCCAGGGGTACTCCGAAAATGCCCTTCTTCTTGACATTCTTCGGCCGGTCGTTCTTGAAGGCCTTGCCCAAGTTTTTCCAGAACGTGGGCTGCTTTCTCGACTCGATAAAGCTCAATAACTCTTCCAGAGGGAATTCGTTCTCAACGGCAGGCGCCAGAGTCAAGACTGCCAGGTGGCGCACGATAAAGTACTCCAATCCCGAGAGCTCCGAAAAGTACTTCCGTCCCAGACGCTGAGGCATCGCATCGCCCATGCGCAACTCAGCCTCTCTACCTGCCGACTGCGATCTTTGATGTCCCATGGGGTCGGTAGCGGGGGACCGGAAGAGTTCCTGGCGGTTGGGCTTATATTGTTGCTCTTTGACTTGTTCAGCAGCAACGATTCGCGGGATATCATCCAGCGTCAGAGCGTCTTGGTGGTTGAACATTTTGTCCGTTGTGCCTTCGTCGTTTGGGCCTCTTCGTTCCTCGAGAATATGGAGGTCCCCATCAGCGCGGCCTAAGTCCTCGCCCGCGGATCCTGGGCGAACGCTACGTCCCTCAGGCCCGTCCATGATGCGCGACGTTCTAGCCTTGCGAAAGCTTGAAGACAAATGCTTGTCGAGACGAGTACTTCTCAATCGGCGAACATCATTCAGCGTGTTCTCGTAGGAAGACTCGCGATTGTGCTCCCGTTGATCTCCAGCGTACGACTTCGAGCGGTTGTCTGAGTTTAGGTAGGGTGCTTCTCCGGGAGCCAAAGTTCGGGCACCCTCGCCTGGACCATAACCATCCGAGTTCTG